TATCTATCTATATATCTATATATCTATCTATCTATCTATCTATCTATCTATCTATCTATCTATCAATGGACCCCGTCTTATAATTGATACAAATTATTCTCAATAGTATCATTAGAGGCATACAAAAACCTCCAAAAAAGTGCGCCTGTTCTCTTCAAGTTGTTTTTTCAGGGGAGGAAAATGGCGCTGGGGGAGAATGTTGATGTTGTACTCGTTACCTTGAATGACTTGCTTGTTGGAGTATGTGCTGGAGGAGAAGGTAAGGCTGTAGGGAGGAGGGCCAGTGGCGGTGGACGGACCATGAGAGTCCGGGTTGAGTGTTGCGCATGCGCCGTCAGGTGCCCCAGTGGGATACGCCTGAGTCAACGACACGCAGACGGCCAGAAGAAAACAGCAACTGAATCGCGCTTCCATTATTACAGGTGTGGGGAAAGAATTAGATCTATCTGTGAAAAGTAAAAATATTTATATTTATATTAGAATGAAGAAAAAAACTACAGTGAAACTGAAAAATCGATGTTCTTATATTCGTTATTATCGACCCAGGTACTCAACACTACACAAGAATAAATACAAACCTAAAACTTTGGATAGATCTTCATTAGGTCTCATCACATTGCATGTTTTTTAATACTCATTTGTTACACAAAACTCTCTGATACTGATTATTTCTGAACGTTCTTAATTTATTAAAAAGGTTTAAAATAGCAACAGAGCCAAACGCCTTAACTCTTTGATTCCGGATTGCCACTTAAGTGGCTTTTTGGGGTGCGGATTTTGTCATCCCCAAAACCTACACCGGATCCTGTGCCACACTTATTGCCTATTATCACCCATATTATTTTGATTTCTCTGTTCAATTATGAATAGTTTGAGTGTTAACACAAACAGGGTTATCAACATTGACTGAAGTAAAGCCGTTTAAAGGAAACACCCTTAAACTTAAAGTGGTTGCCTTATTAGGGGAATTCCTTACGAACGGAAAGAATTAAGGAACATTGTTCAAAGCAAGCCTGCTAACGATTTTAAAAACAATATGGAGTTATTTTAGAAAAGTGGGAACTCTGCTGATAGGATTACCCCCCCCCCCCCCAAACAAAAACACACACATCAAAAAATTAAATATTAAAAAACCACTACTGTATATTGTTCCTTGTTTGCGTGCTGTCATATCTTTCACAAAGGAAACCGTGCGCCTTTAATTCCCATATTGGCTTTAGAAGTAGAAGACCCTTCGCGGTTGGATTTTACGGAATTCAAAATATCAGAAACGCGCCAGCTTCTAGTAATGAACACTATTTGGCCTAGATCAACTAATGAGGAACGTTTGATTTTAAGAACGTATCAACAATGTCCTCTTTTCCTCTAAATTCCATTTGTAAGACTAGAGTTCAAAACAAGTGCACA